AAATAAAAATGATAACTAATATTAAATATAAATTATGAAACTTAATTTTTTGTTAGTATCAAAGAGAAAAATACAAGAGCCTGCTGCATTAATGGATTTTCATGTTTCAACTGCCACTGGTGTAGATGGTGGAGGTATTCATTATGAGGATAATGCCCAAGAATATTGAAAAAACCATGCTTTTTATCCTATGTTTGATAGTATTATAGACTTATAGTTAACATGAAACACAGATTTTCACCAGATAGTCTTAAACTGGTCATATCTATTGATAACTTCATTAATCTAGACTATAAACAAATAAGTGAAATTTTTGTTAACCAGCCTAAGATAAATTATTAAGCCATATGTAGCCATATAGGCAATATTATTCATTAATATTATATTATTAGTTAGATTTTGTTTTCTTATGTTTTCAGGCTTTATTAAATATTAATGAAATTGACTTAAAATCTGAACTTTTGGTGGCAAAAAATTATTATGATCAATTGAAAAATATTAACAATCCTCAGGATCATTTAAAGCGGCTATTAAGAGTATTGTGGAAAATCTGTTTTCCCAAATTTATATAAAATGCTATACTTGGCGCTTTCAATTCAAACGAGTTCTGCATCTTGTGAGAGAACATTTTCAGCAATGCGTCGAATAAACACCTACATATAAGGTCAACCATGTTACTAAATAGAGTTGTCTATCATAGCAATTGAAAGAGATTTGTCAAACTTTCTTAACAAAGAAGACATTTTAAAGAAATTTTCCAATACTGAGCGAAGGCTTAAGCTGTAAATTGGAAGAATTTTGTATWTAAAAATCTTTTAATTCTATATAAGTATCTAAAATAATTGTTCGCCGTCCGCTCCTACTTTATAATCCGCGATTAGCGGTAAGGACTTGTGCAGTGATGATGGACGGGAAGGAGGGTAACCTACGGTGTAACAATTAATTAATAATATAATATATGTATAGTTAATTACTAATTATTAATTAATATGGGTGCCAGATATTTATTGTCAACAATAAATATAAATATAATAATAATAATTACGCGGGCCCGTACGCGGAAAGACAATAATAAATAATAATATATTATGTCAATCAAAAGGTTTGATTTCTTACACAAAAATACAATTTCAATGTGCAACAATTATACAAAAAAAAAGGTGAAACCTGTGCTGCTGCTCCCCCGTTGAGTCCAGGCTGGAACGGCGACAGCCTTTTGAGATGATGACAACGATGACAAATAATAATCTGATAGTCGCTCGAATAAGCAAGTTTCATACCTACATAAATATTAAATTTGACCATACTGTAACTTTGCCAATTTTATAATTAGAAAATAACTTTTTGTACAAAAATTGTTTGAAAAAAATACTCTACCTGAATCCGTATAAAAAAATTGGTGTTGCCATTAAAAAAAAGTAAGTTGTATTGCGCATGCGTGTACCGAGAGAGTTACAAATTTGAATTTTGCCTCACAATGTGTATTTAGGTACTCCCTATTACCTCCCGAAAATCCCATTTCAATTCAAGGTCAGAGGTTAGGTCCAGAGGAAATATTAAGTGATACCTCATATCGTGAACACACTGTATACGTAAGCGTTATATCTTTATTTATTTATTTACTACCATCTATTACCTATTTAAATCTTAGGGATATATTGTTATTTTAAATTATAACAATGATATCTATCCAAATATCTGATAAATAGGTAGCATCACTTTCGAAACTATTGCAATTTTACACGTAACGATATCTCTAAAGAGTAAAAACGGAGTCTTATCGCATAAGAATTAAGAATGCTTTTAAAAAATAATTATGTGATTATATACACAGTATAATTGTATTAATTGGTAAGTAATAATAAATAATAATAGAAATAGAACTCGGGAGCTTATTATATTTTCGGCGGTTACTGTATAGGGGTTGTAGGTTGTAGCAGGTATTGAAAATATTTTATGTTGGTGAATAAACGATGCAGTACCAATTGTTATGAACAGATCCCACCCGTTCCTGGTTTTTGAACAAGGATAAAAAAAAAGGTGTTGAGAATGTGAATATTCTACCAAATACCAATAGCTGTTTTTAATTTTTTATTAACAACCTGGTGATTCCATCCATTATTSGGCTACAAACTATTAACTAGTTAATAGGCCTATGGCCACAAATCCCACGAGGTCGAGCAATGATTAAATTTAGTTATTTACTGTGCATCAGTGGCGTACCCATGATTTTTTTAAATGGGAGGATCGTGATACCACATAAATTTATTTTAGTCATCGTTTTGTAATTTTAAAAGATACTTTAAACGGTATAAGGTGGCGACATTTCTTCCTGACAACCCCCCCCCCCTCAAGCGTACACCACCGCTCGAAAACTATTATTATCTAATTACTAATAATATATTTATTTATTTATTTATAACAATTTTACGGGACAAGTCCTTTAACAAAAGAAGATAAAATAATCATCTCAATTTAATAACATAAAGAAAATATAATATAATATATAGGTACAATGAAAGTTTTGTTTAAATTAAGTGGTATRATACATAAATTGTGTTAGTATATTACTTATGATTTAACTAGAAAAAAAATCAAAGCTTTCATTCTGATACACTCACGAGACATAAAAAAAAAATCAACATCATTACAAATTAAGTTGCATAACGAAAGCGCTCTCGGGAAAAAAGAGTCAGTACAAATTTTTTTTTTTAAAAAGGCACAAAAAATAAATTAGAGCTTCTAATTGAATAATTATGAGTTAAATATACCAATCTTACTTAACAACTCGGTACATTCAATATTGTTATTTAGGAGATCATAAATAAATAATAATATTATGTCAGATATCTTACGTCTAACCTCGAACGATGAATACAAATAGAATGACCTAAAAATAATATATATATATAGATATTTTTAATCTCTATAGGTACATACCATTGATTATARAATAGATCTATCCTATAATCAATGGTACATACCTACTATATCAATAATCCGTGTGTTTAATATTTCAACTGCACGTCTATTTCCTATAGGCTAAAATAATATCTGTGCAGTGTCTTAAATTTTCGGTTTGCAATATACATATTATTTTGCATAAATTTGATATGGCTGAATTTATTTATAATGTATTATGCAAAAGTTGATAAGTAAATAGGTATTATACACTTACTTATTTTTAATTTTACAATAAAAATTTTATTTTAGATGTTCAGAATTTTTTTTCTTTATTTGTGATTTAGGTACCTATATAGTAGGTACAATCTATATTAATATTTATTACTCATGTAAATTTTTTTATGGTTCAATTGCCTTCCCCCATCCCTTATTGGTTACAGAAAGAATAGTGATTTCTTACATGATTACAGTTACTATTGTGTATTACCCACAATGTAATACCATCCATCTGGTACTAGACATATTAGTATATTACAAAGAACAAAGATATAAAGTAATACCACAGATTATATAAAATATTTAATTTTTTTTATTTACACAATAATATATACAATCTGTACAATTATGCACAATTAGCATATTTGATAAGGGTTACAATAATACATGAGTACATGAGTAAGAAGCCACCCATTAATGGTACTTGACTGGAAGTTGTATAAAACTAGCTATGTTTATAAATACTGATTTTTTTTGATATTAGTTCCCTAGCAAGTCACGGCACCAGCTCCTTTTTAATCGACGCTAGGGGTTGCCAGTTAACATTTGGGTGGATAGGTCTTTAATGAGTGGGTTTTGGTGTGTTTGCAGCCGGGCATGAAAGATTTTGTAGAAACGTATAGCTTCTTCTGTCACGGTTTTAATTGATAGGTCATTATATTGTATAGTGTAATTTGAAACAAAGGGTGGAGCATTAGTAATTTTTTGAAGAGCAATATATAAAAAATAAATATATAATCTGTGGTAATGCTAATCACTGCATGTAAAACATGATATACCAATGCATTATGATTACCCAAAAGTATCATCAATGAATATTCTGAGGTATTGTATACATATAGTGACATAGTGTGTATTTCTTTGTAGTATATTTTAATTGCCTTTTAGTAGCTTAAGTTGAATTATTCCAACTTCTAATTTAATAAAACTAAAAAAATATTCTTAATTGCGGATTTAATCAGTAAAATAGGAAAATTAAGTATCACAGACTTATGGATTAAATAAATTAGCAAATATACATAAATATATTTTTTATTAATATTAACATAATATATATTCAATTACATTTTGATAAAATAATTTTTTAATGTGATCACAGTTTAAGAGATTCTACTGGTTCAGCAAAATTTTAAATTATACTGTTTTATAATATTTTAAGTATTTTAAATACTATTACAGTTAGATAAATTTCATAAGTAAGGATACAAAGTAGATTTTTGTAAAACATTAAGTTTGTTTCAAAATTTCAAGGTAATTTATTTAGTAATTGATAAAACTACATTTTTCAGTGAATTTTCAATTGAATATGATATAATTCAAAAGGTTTTTTATTTTGTATTACTATACACAAATAAAAAATTCATTGGTAATTAATATTTAAACAAATAGGTTGATATTTGTATGTAACATGAATTAAAATTTAAAATATCAAACTTGAAAAATTCAACATTTTTATGATGATTTAAAATTACGTGAAAACTTGTTAATAATAAACGTTCTATGAATGAAAACCAAATGATGGGTGTGGGGGAAAGAGCTACTACTAATTCATAGACTTACCATTTTCAAGTTATATGCATTTTCAGGTTACACCACTTGCAGTTATCTTATTATTTAGTTTATTAACGTAAAAGATATTTGGTTGAATGAAATGCATACCTATTCAATATTAGAAAATCTAGTTTAGTCATTACAGGTAAGTACTTATAAATTATAAAATTAAAGTGAATTTGTTTGCATAGTAAAAGAAAATAGATTTTAATTCAATTATTAAAATATCATTATTTTTAGTCTTTAGATACACCTAAAATGATTTTTAATGATTTTTCAAAATGTTAGGGATATGATACAAAACATTAATTAGAAACTTGACATTTTAAAATTACCTACTGTACAATTTACATCCAATAACTTTAATCAGTGAATACGAATATTAATAATTTTTTGTTTATCCATTAGTAGTAACGTCTAAATTACTATCAAAGGAATCAATTAACATATGAGAGGAATTATCAGAATGTGTATCAACATTTAATGCACAGGAAGAATTAGACGCCGATAAATTCATAGTATAAGGGTTATCACTTCCATCAATATTTGATGATAGAAAGTCTTCCATTTTTTCATGTAACTCGGTTTCCATTTCGATAGGTAATGCATCTAAAAATAAAATAAAATACAAAATGTATCACACAATTTATAGTTTGAAGTGTTTGAATATAATTGATGAGTACCTAGACCATGGATTATATAAAGTAAAAATAACTATAGTATACACCGTGATTGATTTATCATAAAACACTCATTATTTCAAAAAGTATTGACTTTTTTCAAAATATTTTTTTACATGGTTTCAAGTTGTTAAAAAAACATATTAATTGTATATAATTATTTAAAACATTTTCAAATAATATAATATACTTGTAATACTGAATTTTAGATAAAAAATAAATCTGTTTGATTAATTCATAACAGTTAACACATACCACGAGCCTTTGCAGAAACTTCTTGGTACAATTCTTCAAATTTAACAGTAGTTAAATCTTGATCCTTTTTATTTCGTTTTTTGAGTACAGCATAAATTAATTTTTCTACTTTGTCGACCCACTTGGTTTCAATTAGTCGTATACATAACCGGTCTTTAACACTGAATAGTAAGGATAACATCAGAAAACAATATTATATATTTTAATAGTGAATGATTAATAAATTAATGTAAGGGTAATAGAAACTTCAATAATTTTAGCACAGATTATATGAAATTTCTCACAACCTGTGGTCTTAATTCCTGTAATGTTGAACTAGGTACGGATTCAAGAGATTTAAAAAATACTTTACAAGTATATAAACTCGACAGGTACATCATATACAATAATTAATTTTGGTAAAACATAAAAAACTTACATTTGATCAATAGTTGTAGACCGATTACACATATTTATAAATGTGATCGATATGACGAAGTAATTCGACGAGGAACAAGTATTTTTGGTCATAGAACCTTAATAGACAATAGACACACAGTACATACCGAGGCTTTGACAATTAATGATAAATATTCACGTTTAAAATAATAACACTTTTTTAAAACCAAATAGTAGTAATTAGTGATTAGTATAGTTGGGTTTAATGGATCATGGTCTTCAACTTTTATAGTTCAATACTTCAAGTCAAAATGAGAAAGTATTAGAAATTTGTATTAGCAGTTAGCTAAGATCATAAAGAACTTCTATAGTTTCTACTCTGCAGCAGTCTGCAATGTTATTTGTATTTTTATATTTTATATATCTGTGGATATTATCAAAAGATAACATTTATCACTTATCACAGAACCACTTATCAATTCTGATCAACTATCTTGATGGTATCCATAGACCATAGACCTATAAAAATAAAAATATGTATTAAATTA